AATGTCTGGAAAAGTGATCAAGCTTGTTTTTAGATGGATTGAATATCAGAAAATGCATCCAAGGGCCATGATAAGTTTGCCCACTGGGGTACCATACCCTCCATCTGTATTCACCTCCTTGGCCTGGAAATAATGGTGATGTACTCACAAAAACATGGAGACTACAGGGGGTTGACCTAAACTTGCAATTACAACTTTGACTTTTAGTGGGGGTTATCATTCACGCAAAAGGGTGGAACAAATCCCAGAGAAATTTCCAGTGGACCCTGGAGACTCCTAGATGGTTATGGGTCAATGGCTAATGTTGAGTAGGAAGAAGTTCAAAGGAGGGGCTGGATGTCGGCATGTTTATCTACTGGACAGTGTCTCATCTCCAGTACCTTTACTGCCTGCTGCCTGACCCAACCTCCCTGAGTCTGATGAGACGCTCACTCCTGGGATCTTCCAGGAGGGACCCCACACAGGAACGCCTGGGATAGGCAGGGGCTGGACCTGGAAGTGTTGTTCAGAGACTCAGTCTGTGTGTAGATCTGTAAATCACAGACTGTTGCTCTATTTATTTACATTATGTATATTTTTTGCTTCCATATGGGCCTTTCTGATTTGTGTTGGGATCTGAAGACAGCAAGAAGAGAGGAGCACAGTTTGGGGAATAACAGTCAGATGGTGAGTCTGATTGAGCTTAGAAAGAGGGGAATCCACTCAGATTTCAGAGACAACGTCCTTTGTCCTTTATCTGGGCTTTCCTGGTGGCTCAGACAGTAAAGAATCTGCTGCCCTGCAGGAGGCCTGGCTTTGATCCCTGGGCGGGGAATATCCCCTGGAGAAAGGAATGGCTACCCACTCCAGTATTCCTGCCTAGAGAATCCCATGGACAGAGTAGCCTGGTAAGCTACAGTCCTTGGTGTCAATGGTCCTTTATCAATAGTAGAGGGTGTTGGGGAAAGCTAGGTCACAGCTACCATGCTGAGTCTGAGGCTCAGAGCATCTGTGGAGATGAGATCAGCATGGTGGGGTAGAGTGTGATGTACGTGTGGACGGGGTTCAGCTCCAGTTCCAATACACACAATCTCCAGCTGCCGTGTTTGCATTTCATGGGGTGAACAAAGGGTGGAAAATGGTATTTCCAACTCAAACAAGATGAAGATGGAGGTATTCCAAAGCAACAAAGGAGGTGCCCATGTTGACCTAAGATAGCAAGAGGATCCAAGATAGCAAGACCCATACCCATTCCAGGCATGGGTCAAAGGCAAAAGCAACTGGGCAAGAAGCATGGAGCTAGAGAATACTGTGTTTTTGGAATGGGTACACCAGCCAATGCGATCTTCCCTCTTTTTCTGTTCATAAATAAATAAAAAAATACAGGAGGGAGTGTGTTTTAGGAGAATTATTCTGGAAAGAGGATGGTGGTTACATTTATTGAAATTCTTCCAATGACACGTGTTGCATTTTTCAAGTGAAGATAAAATTCACATAGCATGTTCCATTGTACAATTCGGTGGTTTCAGCCTATAAACAAGGTTGTGCAACCGTCGTGACTAATTCCAGAACATTTCATCACCCCATAAGGAAACCCCATACCCCTCCTCTTCCCCTCCTCCCTTCAACCCCTGCAGCCACTAATCTCTTTTCTGTCTGGAAGGATTTGCTTGTTCTGTACATTTCATATAAATGGAATCCTACTGAATGTGGCCTTTCATGTCTGGCTTCTGTCATTTAGCCATAAGGGTTTCAAAGTTCATCCATGTTGTAGCGTGTATCAGTACTTTAATCCCTTTTATTGCCAAATAACATTCCTTTGTATTAACATGCCACTCCATTCTCTTAACAGCCTTTCAAAAAGCAAACTTCTTTAATTTTACCCAAGTCCCAATTATTAACCTTTGTTTTTGTGGACGTGCTTTTGGTGTTCCTAGCTAAGAAATCTCTAACTCAGGATCCCCATGGTTACCTCTATGTTTTTCTACTAGATATTTTATCATTTTTAAAAGATATTTTAAACCAAGATTTAATTTTTAATTTTTGAAATGTATTTATTTCCAACTGAGTGGGGGCTACTCTCTATATTCCGTATGGGCTTCTCACTGCAGTAGGTTCTCTTGTTGCAGAGCACAGGCTCTAGGGCGTGTGGGCTCAGTAGTTGTGGTTCCTGGGCTCTAGAGCACAGGCTCAGTAGTTGTTGGTCCACAGCATGTGGGATCTTCCCAGATCAGGGATGGAACACATGTCTCCTGCATTGGCAGGTGAATTCTTTACCACTGAGCCACCTGGGAAGCCCTGATATTTTATCATTTTAAGTTTTATGTTATTCTTGGGTACTTTCTCTTCATATGTGTTGCTTCAAGGGGGTTATTTCACCTTTCTTTTTTTTTGCTTCATTTTTCTAATTTTGTAGGAGGGCAACATTCTCAGCTCCATGAGATTGGGGATCTCTGTTAGTTCACTGATCTCTCCTAGAGCTGGGAACATTACCTGTCACACAGTGGATACATGATGTTGATAAATGAATTAATTATTTCTAAATTTCCCTCTCCCATCTGCCAGAAGCACCTCAGCTTTCTTGTCCTACTTGGTGAGAACTTCTACTTCACATTCTTCTTCCTACACAATGGACTGCATTGTCCTAGGTGTGAGCCACACTCCTGTTCTTTGAGTTTGTAATGACAGAAAGGCCTACAGAAGGAGCATATCCAGGGACCTCCCTGGTGGTCCAGTGGTTAAGAACCCACCTTCCAATGCAGAAGATATGAGTTCAATCCCTGGCCAGGGAACTCAGATCTCACATGCCACGGGGCTACCAAGCCCTTACCCTGTAGAGCCTGTGCTCTGCAACAAGAGAAGCCCACATGCCACAGCAAGGACCCAGTGTGGCCAAAATTTAAAAAGAAGGAAGAACCTATCCAAATTACTAAGAGAGAAAAGACATTAGAATGTATGTCAAAAATGCTTCCCCCACTGCTTTAGGCATTGTGGTTGTTGCAACAGAAGATTTATTTGATTCAGATTATTTTAGAGTTATAAGGGAAGCCTTTCCTATCAACAATATGAGGCCTTTACATATTGGGGAATTAGCTAAAGTAAAACTACAGTGAGACATCCCTCCCATCCATCAGAATGGCTGAAATGAAAAATAGTGACAACACCAGACACTGGTGAGGATGTGGAGAAGATATATGGCTCAGACATTGCTGGTGAGGATGCAAAACAGTACAGCCTCTCTGAAAAGTAGTTTGGCAACTCCTTTCAAAACTAAAGAAGTGGATTTACCATACAAATTGGTAATGGCCCTCTTGGGGATTTATCCTAGGAAAAGGGAGACTTATTCTTCACTCAAGAAATTGTAAATATTTTTAAAAATTGTCAATGAATGCTCAAAACAGCTTGTAGCACAGGGGAGAAAAGAAGCTAAAGTTAACTTAAAGTTAACCTTTAAAATACATTTCAATATGCAGTACCTGCTAAATTGCCTTAGTCATGTCTGACTTTTGTGACCCTATATGCAGTTCAGTTCAGTCGCTCAGTCGTGTCCAATTCTTTTCGACCCCAGGAATCACAACACGCCAGGCCTCTCTGTCCATCACCAACGCCCGGAGTTTATTCAAACTCATGTCCATCGAGTCAGTGATGCCATCCAGCCATCTCACCCTCTGTCGTCCCCTTCTCCTCCTGCCCCCAATCCCTCCCAGCATCAGGGTCTTTTCCAATGAGTCAGCTCTTNAGGAGACCTGGGTTCGATCCCTGGGTCAGGAAGATCCCCTGGAGGAGGGCATGGGAATCCACTTCAGTGTTCTTGCCTGGAGAATTCCATGGACAGAGGAGGCTGGTGGGCTACAGTCCATGAGGCCACAAAGAGTCAAATATGACTGAAGTGACTGAAGTGCACATGCAAGCTATGAAAGAGGAAAACAAGGGGGCAGAGAAGGCAGGAAAAGGATGCTTGTGACTTCCCTGTACATTTCTCCACAGTCTCCTATGAAGCTATCATCATTTCAAAATAATTTTTTTTAATGAGGCTTTAAGTACAGTATATTTCTAAATTACAAAATGTTTTTCCAGTTATGCTGATATGAACTAGTGTCCAACCTGCAAGAAAGCCAAAAAGGAACCATAATTTTTTTTAACAGACATGTATTAAGGAAGTACCATCAGCAGTGTCAAATGACACAGCTGTCAAGTAATAACCGGCCTGGAAAGTGTCCATTGACCTTGGAGCTTAGGAGTCACTGGGGACCCGTCTGGAGCAAGGCCAGTGGTGTCGCCAATGCAGGATCCAGGTGCCCTTTCTGTGAAGACTAGCCCCCAAGGGCACAGATTCCAGGAAAACAAAAGGTCCCCAGACCTCAGTCACAAGGTGACACCCAGCTTTCAGAAAAACTCAGTGAGTGAAACAAGCAGCTAGTTGACCGGATGATTTTGGGCAGAGCCGGCAGGTGAGGTTGTGAGGTTCAGAGGTCCCAGGAGCACGCAGAGAGCCAGGGGGCAGGGAGATGGGAGGCCCTGATGGACACTTTTTATTGTACATGTACGTGTTCAAGGTCATCTAAGGATTGTAATTGAAATACTCACCCAGGCTGCGCTCATGCCGGCTGTACGTGCCGTCCTTAGACAACAGTCTTAGGATAAAAGATGGGACCTATGTGTGCTTTCCTTCCTCCACTAAGTGGTCATTATTGATCTCGGGAATACAGCGTTGGTCTCATGAGGCTAGAAAAGACAGTTGTGAGTTTTTGTCACTCAGTTATAGACCCTTGGCCACACAGAGCCATGTGCAAACCTTCTGATCCATTCTCTCATAACCTGGGAGTTTATTACATCAAATTTACTCAACAGAAGGAAAAGTTAAACCCACAGAATTCTTCATTTCAGTTATATTTGTGTAATAAGTAATGATTTAATATTAAACTATGAATATTTCATTCCCTTTGTCCTCTCCTGCCCTGACCAGCCTCCACTCAGGGAGCAGGAAAAGCCCCCATCTTGGGAATAGAAAGCACCTTTTTAAAAAGTATTTATCTATTTGGCCATGTTGTGTCCTAGCTGCATCATGTGGAGTCTTCCAGTTGCAGTGTGTGGGCCCAGTAGTTTCAGCAGGTGGGCTTAGATGCTCTGTGGCACGTGGGGTCTTCGATCTGCAACCAGGGATCTGCTTTGCAAGGTGGATTCTTAACCACTGGAACAACAGGAAACTCCCAGAAAACACCTTTAAAAGGAGAGATTATATATAGACGCAGAGAAAATTCTGAAGAGACTTTGCAAGATTCGGTCTGTACTAAAAGTTTGAAAGCATTTTCTAGGCATCCTAGGATCTAGACACAAAAACACAAAGCCAAGATTGGAGAGCTGAGGGGAGCTTTTTCTTCCCTGTGGGTACAGAAGACTCATGATGATCTAATGATGATTGTTTTGCCTGCAAGTGTTCAGAATATATCACCCCCAAATATGGCATTTTGGTGTAATGATTATTTTTAATTAAAGATATTTGAGAAACAGCCAGTGCAGGATGCACAATCTGACCCTCTTTTGCCCCCTCGAAAGCAGAAGATAAATCTCCCATGAAATTGCCCTCCCATTCCTGCCTGGGAAATCCCCTGGACAAAACAGCCTGGCGGGCTACAGTCTATGAGGTCTCGAAAGAGTCGGACATGACATAGCCACTAAACAACAACAACCAGGAGGGTAGAAGGCAACCTGATCACCAGAGAAAGGGAGTTAAGGGCTGAAAAGGCTGTAGAAAAATGTCTTGTTACTTTTTTATCATCTTACTATACTGAGCCCCAGTTATTTTTCTGTTAATTCTTCACAAATGTATTGTTTCTTTGTTAAAACTTCATTTTATTTTTAATTGGAGAATAATTACTTTACAATGTTGTGATGGTTTTTGCAATACATCAACATGAATCAGCCATAGGTATACATGTATTTTTTATCTGATAGGGATAAACCTGTTCTGGTTACTTCTTTGCGTTTCATATTTAGAGGGATTCCTGTTTATACAGCCTTAATCCAACTTGTTGTCTTATTTTAATCTGTCCTTTTACTACAAGTTTGGGAGCCACTTGCTCCATTTAAAACATGAACGTGAAAGTGCTTGTCACTTCTGTTGTGTCCAACTCTTTGCAACCCTATGGACTGTAGCCCACCAGGCTCCTCTGTCTATGGGATTTCCCAGGCAACAATACTGGAGTGGGTTGCCTTTTCCTCCTCCAGGGGATCGTCCAGACAGGGACTGAATCTACATCTCCTAAGGCTCCTGCATTGCAGGTGGATTCTTTACCATTGAGCCACCAGAGAAGTCCATCCTGGTCAATATCAGCACCCAGTGTCTGATCCTGAATCAATACAACACACAGATTCTGATCCCGGGTCAATACTAACCCCCAGTGTCCAATCCCGGGTTTGCCAACACTACAGAAGGTGGCAAGGTCAGAGGATGTCACCAACAAGAGAAGCAGCCCCTACTAATGAATGTCTAGGGATCAAGACTTCTCTTAATTCCCTAGAAATGAGACCACCTTCAGGGAGCTGAAAATTGGAGCAGAAGCAAAAGGAGAATCTCAGATTTGATTCCAAAGGTACTAACTTTTAAAGCAGAGTTGAGTGAAAGAACAAGTTTCCTACCATCTACAGAACTAACCTGAGTCCAGTCACAGAAAAATAAAGTTGTATTGACACACGAGAGAGGTGTGGCTATACCTTGTTGCCATGCCTCCATGACAGCAGGGGAAACTTGAACACGAGGGACTGTTAGGCAGCCACAGAAATCATCTCCGTGAAAAGGCTGGAGCAGCCTGACTGAATGTGGACGTAGCCTTGTCAGAAGCAAAGAACTTAAAATTTGTCTGTTTCAGATGCAGGGCTGTGTGGCTTTGTGTGCATCCAGCCATCAAATACAAAGGAAGTGTGGATGGGGAATTAAGGAATTTGGTGGTAAAGAATCCACCTGCTAATGCAGGAGATCTGAGTTCAAGCCCTGGTCCGGGAAGATACCACATGCATCAGAGCAACTAGGTCCATGGGCCACAACTACTGAGCCTGTGCTCTGAAGCCCAGAAGCTGCAACTACCAAGTCCATAAGCTGCAACTACTTAAACCCAGAACCCTAGAGCCCATGCTCCACAACAAGAGAAGCCACTGCAAAGAGAAACTCGAGCACTGCAACTAGAGAATAGCTCCCGCTCACTGCAACTAGAGAAAAGCCCACANAAAGAGAAACTCGAGCACTGCAACTAGAGAATAGCTCCCGCTCACTGCAACTAGAGAAAAGCCCACACAGCAATGAAGATCCAGCACAGCTAAAAATAAATGAAATTAGAAAAAGAAAAAGGAACACCAGTTTTCTGGGATTTCCTAGAAGGGAGATGCTAAGCTCAAAGTGTGTCTTTAGGGAAAAGAGATGTGCTGTGTTAGTTGCTCAGTCGTGTCCCACTATTTGCAACCCCATGGACTATAGCCCAACAGGCTCTTCTGTCCGTGGGATTCTCCAAGCAAGAATACTGGAGTGGGTTGCCATTCCCTTCTCCAGGGGATCTTCCTGACCCAGGGATCGAACTTGAGTCTCTCGCACTGCAGGCAGATCCTTTACTGTGTCAGCCACCAGGGGAGCCCAGGGAGAAGAGGCAGGATGTCCTAAACCGACTGTGGGAGTGTCTCTCTTTCAAGCAGCCCCATTACTGAAGAGACTGCTAGTTACCCCCTCAGATGTATAGCCTTTGAGGAAATCTGTCTCGGTGTTTGACCACCAAGCCAAAGCGACACAGGTGTCCCCCAGGAGCCCCCGCAGAACTGTCCAGGGTGTGTGAGGTCCCATCTGGGAAGTAGGGAAAGCAAGGCTGGACTTAGACACCTGCTTCTCCCTCTGTGTCTCACAACCAGATGGACAGCACAGGCTCAGGGAGGAGGGTGGTCCAAGAAGGGAGCCAAGTCCAAACAGCACAGCATCCTCAGCCAGGTGGTTGATAGAAAGGTGTATCCTCATCCAAGGATGTGTGTGTGTGTGTGCATGCGGCAGGGGGCTGGAGCAGGGTGAAGCAGAGAACCACTGCCTTCCACCCCCCAACCCCTTTTTCTAGACTGCCTCCCTTCTAAAGCCAACCCAGCTATGAGCGGGAGCTTGCTGACCCCTACACCTCCATTGCTGGAAAGAGAAAAGAGGAGCGTTCTTGTCACCATATTCAGCAACACTAGACTTGCCACTCAGCCCATGTTGACTAGATAAATCATACAATCAGAATGGTCACCCCTCCGGGCCGACCCGCGATCCTCTCACACAGCCCCTCACTCATATTCATCACTAGATCAACCTCTGAAAGACTCTGGATTTTCTCTGAAGTCCCAGGTACATATTGTAGCTGCTATGCAGTGTGGCCGTACTTATTTGGTTTATTACTCTCTGAGAGTCCTGGAGGTCAAAAATCCAAACCCAGTCTCACTGTGCTGTAAAACTAAGGTGTCTGCAACTGGCTCTCTTCAGGCAGTTCCGGGAGAAATTCCTCTCCTTTCCTTTTCCAGCTTCCTCGGGCTGCCTGCACTCCTTCGCTCAAGACCCCTCCCTCCGATAACTCCAACCTTTTCTTTTCACAGTCAAGCATCTTCAACTACCAATTCCAATCCTCCTGCCTCCCTTTTATAGGATTTGTGACTCCCTTGGTCCACCCAGATGATCCAGGGTCATCTCCCATCTCAAAATCCTTAATTTCATCACATCCGTGAGGTCTCTTTTACCATATAAAGTGACATAGCTCCAGGATACAGGCATAAGGATGTGGACCTCTTTGGGAGGCATTGTTCAGCCTACCACACCTCCCAAGGGAACTAGAGTCTCATTCAATCGGAAGTGCCGTGGTTCTCAAAAAGCAGCCGTGTTGGGACTGCCCTGGTGGTCCAGTGGCTATGAGTTCTTCCAATGAAGGAGGTGCAGATTTGATCCCTAGTCGGGGAGCTAAGATGCCACATGCCTCCTGGCCAAAAACCAGAAACAATATATAGTGAATTCAATAAAGACTATAAAAATGGTCTGCACCAAAAAAAAACCTTAAAAAAAGCAGTCATGTTACAATATGGTCTGTTCTCAGAGTTGCCTCGCAACACACCAAGGAGGAGGGACAGAGCCCTAGACAGTCAGCAACCCTGCATTTGAGCCTTTAGGGTGTTCACAACTCCACATTCTCATCCTCTGGTGTTTTCAGGTATTAATATAAAAGGCAGTAACATGGGACTTCCCTAATGGTTCCACGGTAAAGAACCTGTCTGCCAATGCAGGAGACGCAAGAGACACAGGTTCCATCCTGGAAACAGGAAGATCCCCTGGAGGAGGAAATGGCAACCCACTCCAGTATTCTTGCCTGGAGAATTCTATGGACAGAGGAGCCTGGTGGGCTACAGTTCATGGGGTCACAAAGGGTTGGACACAAGGTTATTGACTCAACAATAACCACCACCCAAGGCTGCTGTGCAGATGTGTGGAGATGACACATGCAGGCAACGCTCTCCATGCACCTGGGAAATCTGCCTCCTGCCCTTCATGTGCCCCTCCCTACTCAACACGTCCTGCTCTCTCATACCTGTGACGTCTGCAAGTGCTGAATTTGACCATGATGAAGTCGGCTCTGTGACAGGAGCCATTTTTCCTCTGCTAGCAGACTTCAGTGAGGGCCTCTGCCATTCAAAATGCAAATGACTCACACTTGATGGATGTGCAGCATAATTCAAGCATGTCTGGGTTCCCTGTCATTGTCAAGGTCGGTGGAAACTCTAAACAGATACACACACACACACACACTCATGCACATTCACCACCCAGGACACTACGGTCTGCTGATACACCTTCCTGCTAAGTCAGCAAACATTGAGTGACCCTGCTCCCCGCCAGGAGGACATGACCCGGGCAGATAGATGGTAGGGACCCAGAAGGAAAGGAGAAGTGGTCACCGCTGCCCCGGCGCCTCTGCAGCCTCTCAGCACCTCTCCGCCCAGGCTCCTGCCCTCTAGCTGGTCTTCCACACTGTGACTCAGAAAATATCTGTTTAAAAGTGCAAATCCGGGGCTTCCCTGGTAGTCCAGTGGTTAAGAATCCTCCTGCCAACACAGGGGATGCAGGTTCAGTGCCTGGTCTGGGAAGATCCCACATGCCACAGAGCAACTAAGCCCATGGGCCACAACTACTGAGCCTGTGCTCTAGAGCCCCCAAGCTGCAACTATTGAAGCCCGCATGCCCTAGAACCAATGCTCCACAACAAGAGAAGCCACCGCTCATCATAATCTGAGAAAGCCCATGCTCAGCAATGAAGAAGCAGCACAGCCAAACAAATAATAAAAATCAATTAATTTAGAAAAGATAAACATGCAAATCTGATCGACGCTTCTCTTCTTAAAACCCTTTATGGTGCCCCCCTGGCAGAGACCATGCTTTGGCACATGGCCTTCAAGCGCTGCCTTAAGGCCCAGCCCACCCATCACTCCAGCTTCATTGCCCGCTGTTGCTTCCCTCACCCACTGGCCTCCGCTTGGCTGCTCCTGCAGGATGTCTCTGGCCTCCTTGCCTTTGACTTTGCAGCAACTTTGTTTTTGATGCCCAAGTCCTTAACTAATGTTCCTTCCAAATTTAGCTCAGGCCTGACCCTCCAGGAAGCCTTCTCTGGGCCCAGGCGTGATGAGGCTTTCCTACCCTCAAGCTCATATCTGGGGCCACTTTGCATGAAACAGCTGTGGGTATTTCTCAAGAGGTGGTCCTCTTAAGGACAGTGGCTGTCCTGATCACTTCCTTATCTCCAAAGCCTCATACAGTGCCCGGCACCCAGTAGGAGAAGAGGATTAGAATGAATTCAATCGGGACTTCGGTGGTGGTCCCACGGTTAAGACTCCCAATGTAGGAGGCCCAGGGTCAACCCCTGGCCAAGAAACTAGATCCCACATGCCACAACTAACCGAAACTAAAAAGATCCTGCACGCCACGGTTAAAAATCCTTCAGGCATGCTACAAGGAAGATGGAAGATCCTGAGTACTGCAACTAACACCTGGCACAGCTAAATAAATAAGGGACTTCCCTGGTGGTTTGTGGCTTCCCAGGTGGCTCAGTGGATAAAGAATCCACCTGTAATGCAGGAGACACAGGAGACTGGGGTTTGATCCCTGGGTCAGGAAGGTCCCCTGGAGGAGGGCATGACAACCCACTCCAAAATTCTTGCCTGGGAAATCCCATGGACAGAGGAGCCTGGTAGGCTACAGTCCGTGGGGTCACAAAGAGTCAGACACGACTGAGCAATTGAGCATGCATGCACTGGTGGTCCAGTGGTTAAGACTTCCTCTTCCAAAAAAGAGGGTTTGGATTCAATCCCCTGTCAGGGAGCAAAGATCCCATACCCCTTGTGTCCAAAAAACCAAAGCATGGAGTAGAAGCAGTATTGTAACAAATTCAGTAAAGACTAAAAATGGTCCACATCAAAAGAAAAAAACTTTAAAATAAACTAATTAAATAATTTATAAATAAGCAAACAAATAAAATGAGTTCAACAAACGTTCATCCCAGCAGAAGATGTTGAGCTACCCTGTTTTGTGCCCTCTTCAAAGTGCCTCAGCTCCCCAGTGTCGGTAAAGCTGCCCGTAGATGCTGCAGTTTATAAAAATCTCCCTTGGTGGCAGTAAACCATTAAACCAGCAAGTCCAGCACTTTAGAAACTCCCAGAAAAGGACAAATGTGACGGAAGCTGGCATTCATTACTCACCACCAACATTTGTTTTTCCACCAAATGTGATTCTTGATTAATGCTTTTGTAAAACATTTGGGAAAAATAGAAAAAACTGATTAACGTGATGTTCTCTGATTCCCATATCCCTGTCTACCATCATCAGCAATATATTACCCTCAGGCATCTGGTGAGCACCTCTCCTCTCTGCTCAACCCTTTGGAGTCACAGGGAGAGATTCAACAACACCATTTGAAGCAACCATGTCGATGAGCGTCACATTGATGTCACTGACCCCAGGAAGATGGTGACACAGAACAGTCACCATCTCCTGCTTGAAGGCTGACGTGTGAGCCGAGAGAGCTATTTTATTTATTTCTTCATTTCCTCCATTCCCTGCCCTCAAATGGCTTTGGGGAAAAAAAAAATTTTTTCCAACCAAGATTTGGACTCAGCCAATATAAAAGGCAATCAGCAACTGATGAAGATTTCTTGTAATAATTGTTCAACAACAGTTACCTCTTGTTGACACTAAATATGCTGTCATTTTTCCCTAACAGGATCTCGGTTTCATAAGGACCAACCTCACACTTTACAGATGCGGGAGCTGAGTGAGACTCATCTTAATTTTTTAGTTATTTATTTTTGACTGTGCTGGGTCTCTGTTGCTATCCAGGGGCTTTTCTCTAGTTGTGATACAAGGGCTTCTCACTGCAGTGGTTTCTCTTGTTGCAGAGCACAGGCTCTAGGGTGTGCGGCCTCAGCAATTGTTGGGCACGGGCTTAGCTGCCCCGTGACTTGTGGGATATTCCCACCTGTGCCCCTGCTTAGGCAGGTGAATTCTTAACCACCGGACCACCAGGACAGTCTCTCATCTTAATTAGTGACCTGAGACGTATTTCTATGTGTTTTGATATTCGAACATTTCTAATCAGAGACTTACCAATCTGCTGTTAGAGAGAACCACAGGAAGTTGTTAGAGCTTCAAATTGACCAAGTGTTCATTATGCAACTTATGATTGTCATAATCACTCACATTTTGCTACATTAGGTTTTTGTTCCAACCTTGTGTATATCATCAATGTAAAATTTCAAAAATAATACATCCTGAAATTTTGAGTTAAGAAGTTTTTGGTGAAATTTTATACTTTCTCTGATTGTCCGAGTGACATATATGCTAGCGTCTCAGAAGATGATAGTTCTTCAGAACATAGTTCTGATTCAGATGATGTGAATATTAGACCAACAAAAAGACAAAAAACCTTAGTGATCAATTCTGATACAGAAGGTGAACATGAAACTCACCGTACTAGAGAAGGCTCCTTTGCATCAATCCTTTGCTTTGGGTTGAAGACAACATTTCATGAAAATTAGGCTTTACAGGTGTGTCAGGTATAACTATTGAATGTAATAACCTGCAAAGTGTCAGTGAAATAACAGAATTAATTTGGGGGCCAGCCAAAATAAAAACCGTCATAGGCGATAATTTCTGCAAAAATCCCCCAGACAACAATGAGTTAACTAACTTTACAAATGACTCAGTCAGTAAGTGACTGAGCCTGAGGTCTGATCTTAGGACAGTTCTGACTCCAAAGCCCAAGCTCTGAGCTACTGCATTCAGTGTGTGTGTGTGTGTGTGTGTGTGCGCGCGCGTGTGTGCTCACGTGCTCAGTCACTAAGTTGAATCTGACTCTTTTCGACCCCATGGACTATAGCCCACTATAGCCCCTCTGTCCTTGGAATTCTCCAGACTAGAAAGCTGGAATGGGTTGCCATTTCCTACTCCAGGGGATCTTCCTGATGCAGGGATTGAATCCACATCTCATGCATCGGCAGGCAGATTCTTTACCGCTGTGTCACCTGGGAAACATTCAGTGTCTGAGTCCTCAGACTCTGCCCCAAATCCATGAGTTCTGATTCAGACAATCTTAGCATCCAGAGGTCATCAGACCCACCACTCTCTCTCTTATCACCCACAGCATTTCTGCTAAAGCAGCGAGCTGTTGCCTCCCAAGGTGGTCTGCTCAGCAAACATTGTGAGGTGAGCCTCCCCCAGCCCCCCCCCCCACCCCATGCAAGTTCAAAGCTATTATCGCTCCACCCATTCACACTAGTTTGACCTCTGGGACCTCACAGAATCATCTTTTGCAAGACGGCCCTTGGGATATCTGGAGACATTAATCCCTTTCCTAGGCTCTATCAGGACACAGGACGGAGCCCAGGGACTGGCCAAGGGGCCAGCACAGAAGTTGAATTGAGAGAAGGGACTGATCTTGAGGAGGTCATTGGCACTCAGAATTGCTGGGGTGACATGTAAGGTCTTCCCAAACTTTCCATCTGCCAAATGGAGCTGAACTTAGACTTCTGCCTGCGGATGAAGATGGCAATGGCTGCTCCCGTAAGAGTGGTCCAGAGGCACACCGAGTGACAAGGAAGGTGAGAAGGGTGAGATGAGACAGCAGCAGGGGCAGTCACTAGGCCTGGCCCATCCCTCACTGCATCCAAGGGCCCCTTGTGGAAACACTGCGGCCAGATCTAAGAAGTGATTCCCATGCTCTAATCTTGTCTGACCAGCTGGACTCCCCATCTTAGAGGGAATGGTTGTGACTTGGCTCTTTGAATACTGGGACTTCCCTGGTGGCTCAGTGGTAAAGAATCCACCTGCCAATGCAGGAAACACCGTTTCAATCCTTGATCCAGGAAGATCCCACATGCTGTGGGGCAGCTAAGCCTGTGTACCACAACGACTGAGCCTGTGCCCTAGAGCCCAGGAAAGCCAACTACTGAGCCCACGAGCCATAGCTACTGAAGCCTGCCCACCCTCAACAAGAGAAGCCACAGAAATGAGAAGAGTACCCCGAACACCACAATGAACAGTAGGCCTCGATTGCCGCAACTAGAGAAAGCTCCCAAAGCCGATGATGGATGGCATCAACGACTCAATGGACATGAGTCTGAGCAAACTCCAGGAGATGTTGAAGGACAGGGAAGCCTGGCGTGCTGCAGTCCATAGCATCACAAAGAGCTGGACATGACTGAGGGAGTGAACAACAACAGAGAAACCCCTTTCAGCAACGAAGACGAAGCACAGCCTTAATATACAACTAAATAAAATCATTTTAAAAAACAACCAGATACAAGGATAGCAGACTTTTTCTGGAGAGGGCCAGAGAGTAAATATTTTAGGCTCCTGTGGGCCATACAGTCTCTGATACAACTACTCTTCTAACACAGTGAGAAAGCAACCATAGACATAGGCACAGGTCAGTGGATGTGGTGGTGTGCGGCAAAGCTTTAATCTTAGACACTGAAACTTTAATTGTATACCATTTTAATGTCAACAATATCACTAAATTTTTTTTCAAATACTTAAAAATCACTCAAAGCTTGCCAGTCATACAAAAATAGGCAGGGGTCCTATTTGGCCCAGAGCCCATAGTTTTCTGACCCTTGGTCTAGAATGTTTACTGATGCCAAGTGTCAGCTGGGGTGAGAGACTCTGGACCATACGATTTCCCAAGGGCTTTGACCCAGGACTCTGAACTTGAGCCACGTGCATTCATATCCTGATGACTCTTCTGGAAATAATGTGGACCCTCCCCTGCAGCTCCATTTCTTTGCCCAGGGCTGTGGCAAGTCCAACATCAGGTGCCTCGTCACATCCGTTTACGTCTTCACTTTGTGGTGTCCTTGGAAGGCTTGGCCTGCACAAGAGGAATATTTGACAACTGCCTGGAGCTTTGACTCGTTGCTGAAAAAGGGCCTAGGGGAAGAAATATGATCAAGAGGAAACATAAAGGCTTCGGGACAATAGCAATTTGACAGGAAACCAGGCACTTGGAGAAGCAGGAATGAACAAAGATTTGGGGTGGGCCACTGAGTGGATCAGCTGAGTTGCTTCATTCATGTCCAACTCTTTGTGACCTCATGAAGTGTTGCCCTACAGAGTCCTCTGTCCATGGGGTTCTCCAGGCAAGAATACTGGAGTGGGTTGCCATGCCCTCCTTCAGGGGGATCTTTTCAACGCAGAGATTGAACCCGGGTCTCATTATGTTCCTTCATTGGCAGGCAGGTTCTTTACCACTAGCAACACTTGGGAAGCCCCAGTCAGCAGAGGACTCAGTAGTTATTCTTCCTGGAGCTGAAAGTTTCTATTTTCCCATCATAAAACATTTCTTAAACTTGATGTACCTTTTTTTGGGTGCTGTGATGAGAGAGTTTCTAGTAAAAAAAAATACAGCTAATTTTAATATCTTCCGTTGTTTGTAGCAAGTTGTTTTCTTAATCTGGACTTGGGGTTTTGAGTTCTGTTAAATAGTGTTATTTCTTTTAAATCCTTTGTTTGTCTTAGGAAAGTCCCAGGGCTCTTATTCCCGTTTGCGTGTTGACTTGTTCGCCAAAACCATTCTGTTCAGTTCTGTTCTGTCCTGTTTTCTGTGCTGCCTGGGGAAAGGAAGACCACATGGTTAGAATGGAAATAGCAGGGTCAGAAGACAGAGGCTATCACTAACCAACGGGTCAAAGGACTCACCTTCACCCTTCATTGCTCCTTGCCCCAGGAACGGGTATAAAACTCCCCAGGCCCTGTCGTGAAGGTGGGTGAGAGGTACAGAGTAGACACAAGAGTCAGGTCTTACTGCTCACAGAAGTCCAAGGCACGTAAGTCTCCTACATACAAACCTTCAAGCTGCAAATTTTCAAAGATGCTAATGTGAATCACTGGATCACTTTTTCAAGAGGGTAGATAAAATTGAGTCCAGCAAGGAATCAGAACCTGTGCCATCAATGTCAGGCATGAGTGACATCTCAACTTGCCCTCCATCTCCTGTTGCTGACGACCCTTCCGCTCTACCACCTCCCACCTCCCCTCCCTCCTCCAGTCAGTCACTCTTCTTGCCTGTTCACTTGATGCCAGCCCCTGTGTGCCCGCTGTTGTACTGTACCCCTGTACTTCTCAAGGTTCTTTACTGTAAGATTAAAAATATTTCCTTTATTTGTTGTGTTTGGTTTTTTATGTATTATTTGTGTCAAAAGTATTATAAACTTATTACAGTACGGCACTATACAGCAGACTGTGTTATTTGGATAACTAGGCTGACTTTGTCGGACTTAGAAACAAATTGGACTTACAAACACACTCCCAGAATGGAACTTGTTTGTATGTAGGGAACTTACTGTCCTTTTGCCAGTCGAGTTCTGATCCACTAGCCCAAGGAAGGAAATGAGACATTTCCAAGTTGTCAGCAGAGTGATTATGTAAACCATATGTTGAAGGCATTGTAAATATCTATTAGTTCACAGATTATGGGACATGTTGATGTGTTCTGAGAACGTATGATTTCACTTATGTGAGGTATCAAGTGTGATCAAATTAATAAAGATAGAAAGTAGGGTAGAGGTGACTAGGGGCTGGAGGAAGAGGGACCAGGCAGTCAGTGTTTATTGCAGGCAGAGTTTCACTTTGGGAAGATGAAGTTCTGAATATGGATGCTGATGACAGTAAAGTGAATGTACTTAATGCCACTTAAAAATGAATAAAATGGTAAATTTTATGTCTATTTTACTACAATGAAAAAATTACCCATTCACAAAAGAAATATAGGGCTTCCCTGGTGGCTCAGTGGTAAAGAATCTGCCTGCCAATGCAGGAGACACAGGTTCAATCCCTTGTCTGAGAAGATCCCACATTTCGAGGAACAACTATGCCCATGCGCCAAAACTACTGAGTCTGTGCTCTGGAGCCCAGTAGCCACAACTACTGAAGCCAGCATGCCCTAGAGCCCACGCTCCACAACAGGAGAAGCCACTGCAATGAGAGGCCCGTGCACCGAAATAGAGAGTGGCTCCCACTCACTGCAAGTAGAGAAAAGCCCACATAGCAGTGAAGACCCAGCACAGCCAAAAATAAATAAAACTATTTTTAAAAAACACAAAACATACAAAACCTATAAAACATTGTTGAAAGAAACTCTAGAAGACCTAATAAATGGAAAGACATCCCATGTTCTCAGATTGTAGGACTCAGTTCTGTTAAGCTGCTAAGTGGTGTCAGTCGTGTCTGATTCTGTTCGACCCCATAGACGGCAGCCCAGCAGGCTCATCTGTCCCTGGGATTCTCCAGGCAAGAATACTGGAGTGGGTTGCCATTTCCTTCTCCCAGTTCTGTTAAGATGGCACTACAAATAGAGCTACAGATTCAATACAATTACTCTCAAAATTCCACTTAGTTTCTTTGCAGACATTGACAAACTGATTCTAAAATATATATGAAAAAAAATATATATATATTGAAAGCAATTCCCTGATTGTCTAGTGGTTAGGATTCTGGGGTTTCACTGCTAGAGCCCAGGTTCAATCCCTGGTCAGGGAACTGAGATCTTGCAAGACTTGCTGCATGACTATATATATATATAAAAATTCAAGGGACTCAAATTAGTTCTTTCTTTAAAATTTATTTAAAAGAAAACATAAAATTGGAGGACTCACACTTCCTAATTTCAAACTTACTTCAAAAATGTAATTACGGAGACTTCCCTGAGGGTCCAGTGGCTAAGACTCTGCACTATCAATGCAGGGGGCATGGGTTCCATGCCTGATCTAGGAACTAGATCCTGCATACCACAACTAAGACCCAGATGCAGTCAAACAAGTAGATATAAACATATAGTTTTTTAAACTTATATATATATATATAATATATATATAGCTGCAATTATAGAGAAGCCAATGTGATAGCAGTATAAGTTTAGACATATAGATCAATAGGATTGCGCTGAAAGTCCAGAAATAAACCTCACATTTAAAGTCAATTGATATTCCACAAGAGTGCCAAGATTATTCAATAGAGAATGAATAGTCTTTTCAACAAAATGGTTTTGGACAACTGTATATCCACGTGCAAAAGAAAGACGGTGGAAGCCCTACCACATATGGGGTATGAGTTAGGGGGTCCAACTTAATGTGCAAAATTTAACTTAACATGGATCAAAAGATTAAATGTAAGAGCTAAAATAAAACCCCAGACACTGCTGGTGGGATTATAAAATGGTGCAAATACTTAGGAAAACCGCTGGGCACATCCTCAAAAGACACACAGCAATTCCACTCTTATGAATATACTCAAGAGAAACACAAAGATGTATTCACACAAAAACTTGTACAAAAATAGCTATGCTACTCTTAGTCACTCAATCGTGTCCATCTCTTTGCGACCCCATGGACTGTAGCCTGCCAGGCTCCTCGGTCCACAGGTATTCTTGAGGCAAGAATATGAGAATGGGTAGCCTATCCCTTCTCCAGGGGATCTTCCCAACCCAGAATTGAACCAGGGTCTCCTGCATTGCAGGCGGATTCTTTACTAGTTGAGCTACCAGGGAAGCCTAATATTCATAGCAGCATTATAGCCAAAAGTGGAAACAGCTCAAATATCAATCAACCGATGAATGAATAAAGAAAACCTTGTGGTATATCTATATGATAGAATATTGAAAGTGAAAGTCACTCAGTCATATCTGACTCTTTGTGATCCCATGGACTATACAGTTCATAGAATTCTCCAGGCCAGAATACAGGAATGGGTAGCCTTTCCCTTCTCCAGGGGATCTTCCCAACCCAGGGATCAAACCCAGGTCTCCAACATTGCAAGCAGATTCTTTACCAGCTGAGCCACAAGGGAAGCTCAAGAATACTGGAGTGGGTAGCCTATCCCTTCTCCAGCGGATCTTTTCGACCCAGAAATCACACCCGGGTCTCCTATATTGCAGGCAGATTCTTTACCAACTAAGCTATCAAGGAAGCCCTGATAGAATATTATTCAATCAAAATTAAAGGGGAAGGACTGCAAGGAGATCAAACTGGTCAATCCTAAAGGAAATCAGTCCTGAATATTCATTGGAAGGACTGAAGCTGAAATTCCAATACTCTGGCCACCTAATTC